GAGTCACTTGGGCATGGGCATCGCATTTTGTTGAGTGAATATGCAACTTGCAGGATACTCTCTTTGTAATTGCTCGAGGGGGTTCGACGGATAATAACGTATTGTTTGATGTGAAAGAAAAGAGCTTCAATGAGCGTCTCAGCATCTTGCTGCGGTGAGCGCCCGCAACTCCTACGGATTTAAACACCTTTTCATTCCTTTCGCATGTTATGCACCAGCCGAAGCGGGAGGCAAGCAGTGTTCAACGCCAACGGCACCTTGTGTCCTGCTTGTCAGTTCGAACATGCGAAACTGCGGGGCTGCCTTCTTCAGGAAGCGACTCTTTAGCTGGGCCGCTGAAGTTGCCATTCAGGATCAACAGCCACAGCAAGTTTTGCAGGTAAGGCCGTGTTGGTGACATATCTTAAGAGAGTGAATGTTGCAAACGATGCGGCAAAATTGCCTTAGAGGAGCAGCTGACTACGGTGGTAATCCCTGGAATACATGAATTGGGTCTGTTTCAGGAAGTGTATCGGCTTCATGGAGATTGGTTGTTTTCGAAGAATATGCCTGAGAGGGCAGTAGAAATGTACATCAAGACAATTGGTGAGGCTGTCTCAGGACATTTCGCGCCATCCGTAGGTTCTCTGACAAAGACATCGGCCTGCTTACGCATGCATTTGAAAACCTTATGCTGTGTACGAAATTGGCTCAATAGGCTTTTTAGAACCGTCTGCCGTCATCCAAAAGTTCCTCGATGCTCAAGAATTGAGACACCTTGCCTTCTACTTGCTTCACCTTCACTTGGCAGGGTGTGCTATGCAGCAACACACTCTGCTCTTTTTCAAGTGCACTGCCAGGCTTAAGGACGATTCCCTCCTTGCCAGCTTTTTAGAAGACCCGCGCATCAGCAAGACCTGTTCCCTTACGGTTGCACTTAACGGATGCCGACTGAATGGTCAGTTCTGGTTTATTTCTCGAACATTTCCCCCCAGTATTGGGTATTTAATTACGANCACACATACTGGATCGATCACTCCGCTTTCTGGCCTTTGCTGCTCTGAACACACTTCTGTTTGCAGCAATGGCGCTTCTTGACCAGTCCCAATGCGCTGCATGCGAGAATGTATTGCTCAGGAGACACAGAACTCGCGTGTACAATAGCCAGTCGCCATGGATATCATGATGAGCATCTATCGTTGCTTTTGGAGACCCAGTGAGTCTACCGAAGACTTCGCCCGCCTTGTGGTTAGAAAACGACAAGACAGGGGTAGTCTCAGGATTGTAACGCTCTAAATACGTTTCGTGCTTTATGCTGCGCTTTTCTGGAGAAGCCGTTGTTGAGCTTGTCAACTCGATTGATCCTTTCAGGAATTTCAGAAAGGCAGTGGAGGTTTTGAAGCAAGTGGATGCGCCGACAGCGTGCTCGCTTTTGCTAAAGCACGGCAGCAGCCTTCTTCGACACAGCGCAACTGATGTTTTTCTTCTTCTCAGTCAATTTATAAAGGACTACCACACCAGGTTCGGCAGGCAGCATTGTTGCGGACGCTGCTCGAGCTAGCGGCACTGCGTACTTGGTCGTTGCTCCACTACCATTTCGCACCATGGTAGTTGCTCGGGCTGCTTTTGCTGTTTGCAGCGTTGAAGTCTTTATTCCGCTGTTTGTTGATGATTCCGACCTGTTGTTACTGTTCCTCTCCTCGCTGGTGCATGGGGTAACAGTGGCAAGACGCTTAGTCCCGCAGCATGAGGCCCTCTGCAATGACTTAAAACTGCAAGAGGCAATAGAAGAGGCGAGGTTGGCTATTTCGTCCACCCCTTCAATATTTGGGTGCAGCCCGTTTTCCTCGCTCCTGGAGTTGCTTTTGCGTAGGCTTTCATGCATTGGTGCTTCACGCAGGGACCGGCAGAAGCATTAGTAATCTGGTCACTATATACCTATCCTAGTTCCTCTTTCTGCTGCGTTGTAACAGCATATAGCTGTGGACCGGGAAGCACTTANTCGTCATGGTATGTTGCTGGAGGATCTATGAGCAGATTATCTGTGGTCGTTCAGGCAAATGGCGTGCAACTCATCACCCTGCCCTAGACAACACTGGTGTAGCCAGTTGCCTGTCCGAGGAGCGCGGGTGTCTCCAGGGCAAGGACTCTGGTGGCAAAGTTCCCGATGTTTCTTCTCTGTACACTGAAATACTCCTGAAAACTCTTAAGAGCCGACCCATGGTGAGTTTGCTATATTCCTCATTGGTCTGGTTTAGCGTTTCCTAGTTGAATTGCTTATTTCTAGCATATACCACTGCATATGCGCGGATCGCTGGATTGGTGTAGACTCACGAAGAGCAGTTTCGGTCAGCTCTTTTATGCACGATCTTCGGCTTTGAGGAGGGAATGATTCTCGAGTGCGAGAAACGACACGAGTTGCAGCTACCTGTAGCCTATTTTGAAGCCAGCAACGACATATCAAGCCTTCTTAGGTTCTGTATGAAGAACGGATCGAAAGCACCCACATTATGGACGCAAACGTTGAGCATTCTTGCTTCGTAAGTTTATGTTGTCAGAAGTGTTGCTGCTAAAGCGCCACATTCCTAGCAACGAGCAGGGTTTTTTTCCGCACAGTCACGGAATCTCCATGCAGCTGTTACTGTGTACCTTGTCAGTCAGAGAGGGACGGAGCGCCAAATCAGAGAAGTACTAATGCATATAGAGGTAAACCCTGATCGTCACTTGCTTGCTGAACAGAGCATATCCGCGTGTATATGCTCAAATATGTTGAGCCTATGGTCCTTGGTACTTTCACTGTCATCTCTACCTTGCTGCAGCGACATCGTCTACTGCCGGCGCTGACGGTGTTGGAGGTCCTGCAACAGAGCCCAGCTGTTACGCTGGATGCTGTCAAGGTAGAACAGCTTCCCCTTGCCCCATATTGCTGACGGCTCAGGAATTTTTCGTGAACCTCCTGGTATGGGATAGTTACGCTCATCGGTGGTGGAACTGCTCCCCACGATTGCCTTGTGCACAGGACTACTTCCTACGAGCGAGTGATGATCTCAGCGAGCAACTGGAACAATCTCAGGCGCTGCTGCAAAGCGACAGGGCCGAAGTTTCGCTTATGGCGGAGGAAATCGAGCGCTACAAAAGTAAAGGTGCGGGCGCATACAGTGAAAAACTCCGTCACTGCTGCGCACGTTTAGGTGGCTACTATGACCTGCGGAGCACGCACCGCTCTGCTCTGGAGTAAATTGTATGGATACCCCCGAAGATGAAGGTAGAGTGCAGCCATTATGTACTGGCACAGAGCAGGGAAGTTGGCACGCAACCACCCTTGTAGCTCTGGCATTCGTACTTGAGAATACTGGCACTTCTGGCTTGTTACTTCGATGTTTCAGCCCAGGTGTTTGAGTCGGAACGATGCGACTTTTGTTTCCTCCCAATTGAGCTACCTTCCATCCACTTCCGCTGTGGCCACTCGTTTCACATATACTGCTTGAGCAACAACAGCGACAACAAAGCCGGGATTCTCCAAGCGGACGGATTGTCGCACGAATCGTACTGTTGTGCTATCTGCACTCCACAGTTTAATGCCAAGCGAGTATGTTCACTCAGTGCGTTACCGGTGCGTTCTGTCGGCGTGTTAAGCGGATGCGCGTAGTTCACAATTAGTCCACTTATTCTAATGTGATTTTTCGCAGTTGCTGCTTTCACAAAGGGAAGCAGAGGCATGTAACACTGACGATTTCTTCAAGTTCCTTCGAGGATCAACAGATGGGTTTGATTTTATCTTGAGTTGTTTTGGCCGAGGCTTGTTCCCATCACGGCTGGTAAGCTGCACTGATTCCAGTGGGTTGAAGGCGAAGCCGTTATATAGACTTCCCTTCAAGTATTCCGTACAGCTTTGGGTACCTGACTACGTGGCTTTTGCAGAAGAAGATTGGACTTGTGACGAAAGACATGACAGGTCTGGATCCCCTTATTCGGAGTTACGCTTGCGCGGGAACTAACATTGTTGGAGACTTACTGGCAAGTCTCGAGCCCGCCGAACTTCCGCTGGAATAATGAAGTCTGGGACGATTACATCGTCGTGAAAATACTTTTCCTCCCCAAAACAGATAAAGGCGCACCTAATGCGTCTGAACGAATATCTCGAAAAGCTGGACGCTCATTTGCCCTATTGTGAAACTTTAGTTGTCGTATCTAGAGTACCATGGTAAAATGCACTGTCAGCTTATTAGTTGAGCGTTTCGTTGCCCTTAAGGTTCCGTCTACCTCTGACTGCGGATTGCAGTATCTGTTTTAGTTAGTCAGTGTTAGCTCCGCACCAGGTTGATGCATTTGGCAGTTCGCACGAATAAGCCAAGAAATTGGGAGCCTTTGATTGTTAAGCCCACACATGGGGGGGTTAAAACAACGATGAAAAACATCGCAGCAATTAGGTCGCACCCGCACTGTAACTTTAACTCGCAAGTAGGCTGCTTTGGTTAGGATGCCTCGGGGCTCTGTGTTGCACAGTTTGCTGCATAGTACTAAATGGAAACTTGCAAAAGACAGATCAGCAATGTGTCACGTTAAAAGTGACTACTAACTATCCAACAACAGGATACCATGAACTTCGCATCTATCAGTGTCGTAGTGGAAGACGTGATCCGGCCGTCAGCTGCTGTGCTCTCCTATCAGTGTCGTAGTGGAAGACGTGATCCGGCCGTCAGCTGCTGTGCTCTCCTCTTCCTCCTTAAGGCTGCGGCTGAGACGTGTTGCGCTTGAAGGATCCAACTTGAGTCATATCTTGCGTACCGCCGGGCACGAACCCTTGCTTGGCGAATTGCGATGATAGCTGGCAAACCAGAGGGCTCATTATCCCAACATTTTGGGCATTTCCTGACAAGATGTCGCTCATGGTGGTGGCGGGAATACCAGTGACGTCGGGATCAGCCCACCCAGGTGGCACGTGACCACCAAAGAATTTCTCTAGTCCAGAGGCATCACTTGTCATGATTCCATTGGAAAGGGCCTTCACAAACTCAGGAGCTTCCATGTTCGGGAGGGGAACAAACTGGTGGATTTCTATGGCATGTAGTTTGAAGGATATAGGGTCCAGCTCCCCTCCATACTCAGGTGGTTTGTTGACGGCGCCGCGGTAAACAACAGATGGCTCCAGCTCGTCGGACGGCTTGTCTTTCTCCTCTGGAATCCCTTCCACATCTGAANCATCGACACAGACACATATTCTACGCACCTGCTACACAGTGCATGTGGCACGCTAACCAGCGCGGTGTTTTTGGTCTCGCACCTGTAGGATTTTGGGGGGCTCCTTGATCTTCCGGTGCTCCTTGGCTCTGGAACGCAGCGGCGAAATCCGTCGGCATGTTTTCCGGGTATCCGAATTTTTCAGCAGCTGTGGGAGTCTGTGCCTCCTCTTTTTTTCCAGTTAGCCAGCTCCAAAAGCTTGGCTTCTTTTCGTTCAAGCGAGCCCCACTGCTTTTTGGCTTGTCGGATGAGCCAACCTGGGAGAGGAAGCAGGGGAACGCATGCATTGGCGTTTGAGGAAGCTGCTGTACGGCGTGGGACTGCTAAAGCACGGCCAGATTCTCACTAATTCCACGAAACTGAGGACAACTGAATCACCTGAGGAGTGGGCCTTGGGTAAACAGGGCCAGGAGGGAGCTGGGACAGGACGGCTTGACGAACAGGGCCGTCGCCGACGCTGTTCCCTCTAAGTACCCGTTCTTCAGTGTTGCTCTGGAACTGAGAGGCAAAGTCTTGTCCCAGTGGGTAGTTTACGTTAGCCTCAGTTAGCTGTGCAGATCCTGAAGCACATAACACCGGGGATACGCCGACATCTGATATTATATCTCCGGGAGAAACCGTACGTGTTAATATCAACAAATGCTATGAGAGTACAAGACAGTAGTGTATTGTACCTGGATAGAGTCTCTGCTGCTCGGCACGAACCGCCTTCTCCACGGTTCTGATATGGGGCTCCTGGTGAACTTGTGTGCAGCAGGCTGACCAGCCGCAGTAGGGATTCGATGTTTGGGGTTCATCTTGGACATAACGGGTTTCCGTGTATGGGACAATAAGGGGGGGAGGGCAATCAAGCTCAACGTCGAACTTAGGAACATATTTGTATACGGGAACATCTTGATACTTCTCTTTCCACTCGTACTGCATAACCTCTACCTCTTTAACGACTTCAGTCACCTTGGGGACAATTTTTTCCTTGACATCTACCACCACTTCCTTTTCAACGTAGGTATCCTTGTATTCTATTTGTGGCACTTCAATCTCGATTATTTGTTGCTCGCCTTCGTACTTGGGAACGGGCCTCGGCACCTCGCGTATGTCCCACTTGGGAACGAACTGCGGTGCATAGCCCACGTGGACCGGGACGTCGACATCTCTGCAAGCAGATGCAAAACCTCCAGGATGACATCCAGTTAAATCTTTGGACGGCAATCCCTGTACAAATGTGGTAACATTATTCAACTGTGTTTTTCTCACCTCTCTATGATTTTTTCAGTCTCAATGGCGACATTTTTCTCGCCACAGTCGACGCGAACTTTGGGAACATCGTGAACAGCAGATTGGTTATAGACCTTGGGAACAATGCAATCCTTGACCTCCACTTGCGGCACCTCTATGTACTTATCCCGCTTCTGGATTTCTTGGTACACAGGCACTGGGATGACAGGTTGGTCAGCCTGCAGGCGGATATGTGCCCTTTGCACCTGTTCAGCTTCGCATGTGAGCCCATCGCATGTAGGAGTTCCGCAAAACGGCACAGTGCCGCATCCCGAGTTTTCTTCTGACATCTTTTCTTCTCTGTGGACAGTGCGCTGGTGTGCTGTCGTTGTGCCGTGGGCACAGTCAAGTTGTGGATCTGAACTGTGGCGCACACGCAAATCACTTCACACAAATTGAACCACCATTTAACTACGCAATAATAATCGACATAAGCTTATGGGCTGCCAGTCGCGGTACGAGCACACGGCACACCACCAACTATCGATACAGCGACTCGACGGCGGCACGAGCCAGGGTGCAGGAAGTCAAGAAGAAATAACTATGCCAGAATGCGTAGAATTCACATATGACCTAACAAAAATCAAGCATTTGAAAGAGAACCAGCTCATCGCATCACGGTGGGATGGCGTCTCGCTCACGCGCTGCCTCGCCATGTGGAAGTTGAGACGGCAGATGCAGCTGTTTGTGCACCTAGCGCTTTCTCGGTTGTTCCCGTTAATATCCCCTCCAAATATACATGAATTAAGCTATACGCATGAAAGAAGCATGGATAGTTACTGTCTGAACCCCTCCTACAGGCCGCCTGACAACCAAGCAGGTCCACGATACTCGACAAAACAGTCGGCAACACGCTTGCTGTGCTGAACTTACCTAATATGCAGCAATCTTCGGTGAAAGTCTTCCTCCATCCACCGTATTTGAGGATTCTCTCGTTCTTTTCCCTCAAATCACAGTTTTACTGAGGCCACAACGATGGACGGACGAGGCAGCCAGCCTACCTGCAGCAAGCCAGGGCTTGAGTGAGCATCGGCGGCAGCGACACCACCAGCAGCAGGACCAGGTCATACAAGCCTGCCCCCGTTACGTGAACTCACAAGAACAATAGCCCACTAAATTTTAAATATACATTATTTTCAAGGTGTAATCTTTACTTCCCTGTCTAATATTCGGCTTTTATCCGATACTCAAGCTGCCTTGGTTCGTGGTCGTTTCCAACGGATGCATGGTTAGGTGGAAGACTGCCTGTTTGAAGGAGTTGTACTATTCTCAAGAACAAACATTTAAATAATTCTATCGTCCGAATTTACGGTATATATATCAGTCGATCTGATTGAGCCACTTTACCCCCATGTGCCGTGCCCGCCGATTCGCAGCGGTCCTGGTCCACCACGCTTGAGCCGCGCCGAGCCAGGCGCAACAGCCATTCATGTCTCCCTCATGAGAGAGTCCAGTGCTTTGAACTTCTCACGTTTTCCTATTCATAGTTCGCTAGATGTTTTGAAGTCTTCGAAGTCTGACTCCGCTTTTGTGAGTACACGCACAATGAATTGATATCCCGTCCTCGCACCACTGGCTCTGCATTCGCCTCTCCCAATTCTGCGCTTCACTGCACATTCAAGCGTTTCTATCCATATTTTGTATATTGATTTCTCTCTATAGGCTTGTTAGAGCTACTGTTGTCGCCTGTTACGTCGATAAGATGCCGACCACGGAGGTGACTTTGCTCCTCAGCGACTGGACTAAGGGGAATAACGGCAAGAAGCTCGAGTTGCCTCATATTCCAATGGACGCGACCATACTAGATGTAAAAAAATCTGTCTTAGAGGCGCTTAATGCTGCTGATTTACAGCCAGAAGCCATATTGCTGTTCATCGGGACTCTCCAGCTTCGAGACGAAAAACTGCTCAAGGACTACAACAAATCTGGCCGCTCCAAGCTATCCATAGATGTCTACGAACGTGTAGATATGAACCTCAAGGTCAAGACCCTGCAGCGTAAGCGGCCTTTTTGTCGTCTCACCTCATGTTCCTTTCTCAACCTTGTCTCACCTCTCCCACGTAGCCTGGTCAAATAGGTCACAGAAATCTGCAGAGCAATTTGCACTGCATGCATCCGCAGATTGTGGATCTGGTGGATGCGTCTGCATACCAATCTGGTCTTTTCTTTGTCGCCAAACGATAAAAATAACTATTGGTGATCATGAGACTGTTGGCGACCTGAAGAGGAGGATTGCAGAGGAGTTGGACGACCCAAACAGGTATGAATGCTGTGACGTTGGTGAGAGATCTCTCGAATGCTTCTGGTCTCGTTGCGGTGTGAAGCATATCCATATTATGGGCGTGGCGACTGCAGTTGTGTGCTCATCCCAGGTACAAACAAGATAACATCAAGCTGACATTCATGAGTAATATGCTTTTCGACGACTCGCAAGTCCTCAAGGACGCAGGGATACACAATGACGACACAATTAACTTGCTGGTTGACTGCTGCTACTGGAAGAAGTCACGTAAAACTGACAATGATGCAGCTGCTTCGGCTCCACCCAAGGCGGAAGAAGATGCAGCAGAAGGCGGACAAGACGCCGCCGAAGACGAGGGCGCTGCAGAAGAGGCGGCTGCAGAACACGGCAACAACGAGGATGGAGCAGAAGCGGAAGGCCCTCAAGGCGTGCAAGATGAGGCAAAGCCAAGCATGGAACACCAGTAGTGCCTGACCCCGTACGTGCACGCGCTGCACCAACGCGGACTCCAAGCCACTCTAGTTACATATCCATTGCATTTCCCTTGTCTTGGTTGGACCATATTTTAATGGTGGGGGACGCTAGTACTGCTTCCCTCGAAAGTTGTCGCCATTTTGCCTCATGCTTCGCTCTGTCTTCTCACCAATTTGGTTGTGACTGCAAACCTTTTGAACTCAAACTGGTCAGAACTGCGACAGCTGACTATGTTTGAGAATNTTTGGTTGTGACTGCAAACCTTTTGAACTCAAACTGGTCAGAACTGCGACAGCTGACTATGTTTGAGAATCAAGGTGTCTTCTGAATGGCACGAAAGGCGATGAAAAATCCCGAATTGCCCGGCCGTCAACTCCTTCGGAGCTTGCCAACTGCTGGTGCACTTATTTGAATAACCACTTTGCGCTGTCTAGCGGCACTCTAATTCCCATTCCCACGGGCAGTTCTGTTGCGGGATAGTCTAGAAAGCACCACTCTGGAAGGAGTCAGAAGAGCAAATGATAGGAGAACGAAATGACTGAGTTTTAGGCGTCTGAAATGCGTCGAAGAGCATCGTTAAACAGTGCAGTCGACAGCAATCAAGCAGCCTTCAGTCCTTCGGGGCCAAGCGTATTTATTTAGGTAGTATTAGTTAGTTAGTATTCTTTAGTATTCTTCGTTAGTATTCTCCTCTTCCGCATCACTTTCTTGTCCCTCTTCTTTCGACTCTGCTAGTTTCTCCTCTTCCGCTTCTACTTCTTCCTCATTTTCGGAGATCGTCGCTGCTTTTGCAATGCTTGTAACTTTCTGCGCTTTCTCGGATATCNTTCTTCCTCATTTTCGGAGATCGTCGCTGCTTTTGCAATGCTTGTAACTTTCTGCGCTTTCTCGGATATCTCCAGTGCTGCTTTTGCGATTGCCGGCTCGTCGGGCTGTTGCGCAGCCTCTCTTGTGAACTTTTGGACGTCGAACGTGATATGTTCCCCTTTAAGTGTGCGCTCTAGCTTCTGTGTCATTATGTCACTCAGAAGGCCTTCTTACCCACGGGTTGGTCCATGCCATTAACCTGACGCCGGGTATGGATTGAGCTAATGTGGGGTACAAGATTCCCAGAACCTGCTTGCCTTGACTCGGAACTGGTGCTTTTCGTCGACAGAAAGATCAACATTTACTGCAGCCTTTGTTTGCTCTTCCGGCGTTTTGGGTGGTGGCTGTTGAATGGGAAGTTCAGAAGCAGAGGCTACATTTATACCTATCTAGGCAACGCACCGGTGGAGGGGGTATTTCTATCACTGCTTCTGTTACCACGCAATGTATGTGCTTTGTTACCAATTATATCTCGTAAAGTGACTCTTTAATACCTTTTTCAGCTGCTTGAATGCTGGGGAGAGTCCCTGAGATCCCCAGATATGGACGATCAGTCGTGTCGTTTCCAAAAACGATTCTCACCTTTGAGACCCATATGCCTGCAGAACCAGGCTTCTGAGAGCGCTGATAAAATATATTTTGATTAGACACGAGACATGTGAAGTCCCTTGAACCTGCAGCCGCTCACCGTCAATCCAGCTATCACGAGCACTCTGTGACGGGGCGCACAAGACCTGCTCCGCGCCTCTGTAGTTGAANCAGTCCCACAATTAGGGGAGTCTTCTGTCGCTTTGATGGGGAGGTCCACACCTTCCCAAAAGAACGTGCTGCTCATGCAGAAGTCGACTGTTTGAACGTCGATGAGGAAATCATCACAAATTTTTCCCTAACTTTTTAAGCACTTGGTTGTGGTAAATTGTGAGCGCAGATCCAGTGATTTGCGCCGTGTTGCTAAGTTGAAGAATAGTTGGAAAAGAAGCATATGGGCAAGGTCGTGAACATCCAACCTTAAGCTGTTGTGGAGAATTTCGTCAGGCTGGAATCCGTGAGACAGTCATTTTGAAAAGCAGAAATCAAAGTAGGAGGCGCAGTTCATTGACTCACGTCAGGCACGAAATGCAACGCCCCAATCTTGAGGATTTCACACTCTATCGTGAAGGGCAGTAGTGTGCGTCATGCAGCAGTGTAACTGTATAAGCTGCTATACCTGCAACAGAGCTTTCTTCGCCACTGGATGCTGAGAGCCTCGCTGCCTCCACTAGCGACTTGATCCGAGCAGCCTCATCTGGCATTTAGCAAGAATTTAGGCCAAAGAGCGTTGAGTTAAAATTGCAGAACGTACGCTCCTGTTTTTCGGCTTCGGCTAGCAACAATGCAGCTTGTTTCATGTTATACCTAAATGTTGCACGCATCTGAAGATACCATTCCAGAATATTTATTTCCTTCTTCTCACTGTCGAAGCACTGAGTCTTCAGTTGTGCTTGCCGTAGCTCCAGATTCTGGAAGCAGTTCGGAATCGCTACCTCTGCTGCCTGATTGTGACAATGCCCTGCGCATAAAACCAATCATGCCCTTTACTCAAGCAGAACCCCCTCACGGCGAGCAGCTGCCATTGACTGGGCTGCTAGTTCTCGTTTTCGTCGAGCGAGCAACACCAGCCTGTCGTAGCGGTCTGTATTCAAAACCTAAGGGTGCATGTGAAAAGTACAATTCAGCTGTCAATGCAAATAAATTAACCTCAAACTGAGCTCGTAGGTCATCGTGCAGATCAGCTGTCACATCATCCGCTGCTTTGGCCTGCACAGAGAGGAACCTAGCGGCAGCTGAAGCTGCCTTCGGAATCGAAGAAAGTCATTCACAATCAAGAAGCTTTCACTTGAAGGTTGCCTACAGCCTGTGGCTTCATCCCCAAGGCGAATAGTTCCATGATTCCTCTTGGAAATCCAACATCAACGTCTACTGCTGCACAAAGTTGCAGCATTGGGTACCAGGCCCACGGCACCAATCTAAGCATGGTTTTAGATGCTTGGCTGCTGGCCGTACACTGCTCCAGCTACGTCGAAAACGTGAGCTCCAGCTGGCCCACACTTATAGAACGCTTTCAAGGATATGAGCGCACTCCCTTCTATTCCCAAGTGGACGTCAGAGCTGCAGTTGACCGAGTGGCAGTCGGCTGTTCTCCGGCGTCGGCTAGTCGATGGGTCGAGCAAAAAGGAAGAAATTAGTCGTCAATGTGGTGCATGACAATCCACACGATGAACCTCACGCATTTAAGTCTATCAACCTTGAGAAAACAAAATGAGCATTATTGGTGCACGTCACTGACGCGGTTGAAACTCGCAGCGTCTTCGTACACCCGAACGTGCTCAAGCGGATACGTCCTGGGCTAAGCAAATAATTCATAATTGAGAATCTTGAACGAATCGATAATCACACGGAATATGTGATCCAACGACGCTGAAGTGCTCGTCTGTAAACCACTCAACCCAGAGATTTCATTTGTTCTTTCATTCATGGAGACGACAACATCCGCGCGATGCTCTGAACAGATCAACCGCCGCACAATTTAGGACACTCTCATGGACTACGCGGGGAACAAGTATCCGCTCACGATGGAATTAAAAGTCCGTACTACCAAGATGAATTAGAGGAAAAGCGCGTGATGCTGAGGAGAGCGTTTGCTCACTAGAACCAACCCTACGACTAACCTGGAACTCGTATAACTGCCATGCGCACGCGTACATGATCAGGGGACCCAGCCCCTTTTTTTCTCACNCAAAGAAGAGATAAAGATTCCCAGGCCTCACCAAGTCATCTCGTTCACGAAAAACCACCGAACAGCTATGCGCTATGTATACCTTTGCAAGGAGTGTCCGATGGAAAGTAAGGAAACGCCGGGTGACATGGCGGCTTCCACTCTGAAAACTAGACAGGGGAAACTCCCTTACTGTCCAGTCATTGGAGATTCTCCCTTCGGTGAAGTCGATGATTCCACAATTCGTGACGACAACGCAGAATTTGCTTCCATGAGGTCGTTGAAAAAGAACCTGTTACGATCCACAGATGCGCAAACAGACTTGTCAATAAGTCATACGAAGGCACTTGTTCAACAGAGAGAAAGAAAGCAGAGAGTGGGCTTTCTGCTCGTCCATACCACTGCCATGCTACCTTTCACGCAGTGGGCAAACCGGTTGGCGCACTCTGCAGCACTCGCATCTGGTACATGTTGATATTCCAAGATTTCGATGATCACACTTATGCTCCCATCGTCGTTAACAAAGGCTTCTTGCTGATCAGGAACGACCATGATTTTGCTGCAAATCGAAAAGCACGCAATATATGGGGTCATAAAAGTACCAGCCAGACACAATTTCCGGCGGATCCCCAAATACATGCATACCTGCGTGTGGCAGTTGTTTTGTAGCCACGTCAGTTAACGTTGCCACACGGATACCCAGAAGTAGAGTAAACTCAGAAGGAGAATACAGACGGCATAAGTTTACCTCATGTCGTCCAAAGAATCGGGAATTTCGCAGGCCATTGCACCGCCAAAAAGGGCGCGAGACCGAAAGTTTGGCGCAGGAACGGACATCTCTGCCGTGCCACACGCTCCATAAAGCATCAAATGCGGCAATTTGCGGTAGTAAGCAGGACGTTGAATTCGGAGATTGCTATCCACCTAACCAAGCAGATTCGTCGGACGCGGGAAAGTTGCATTCTTCGGTGAAAGCGCAGAGGTGTACTGCACGGTCACGCAAGGATACTGCACAACCACGACATTACATAGCAATAACAACCTAGAAAAGACACGAACTTCCTCCTCTACGAAGGAAGACTTCACGCGGGAGCCTGATGCAGCCTGTGAGCATGCCCGAATACGTTATGATCGCGCACGCCGTGCATGAACTGTCCGGCACTCCTATAAAATCAAAATTCGAATTCTAAACAAGAAATACAGCACAAAAACTGGCTGTGCGAGGAGCGCATTATAACTCGCTACTTCCAAGAAGTTGTCGACGAGCAACACTGGTTGGCTTTTAGGGCTGGCGAGCATTCGGCATGAAACGGGTTTACTGAAAACCCTGCATTGGCTGCCTTCTAAGCTTATGCCAGCTTGTAGGATGACCTTCTTGAAGTTAGTGAATGCATTTTTTACTTGCGTGCAGGCGGCCTCCTGACGGCCGAGCAACTTTTCTGTGTCAGACCAAAGCATGCCTGCCTATGCGCGCTTACGGGGCTGCACTGTACTAGGAGTTACAGCAGGCTGCGCTAAAGCTTATGAAATACCGCATCCTCTCCGCAGGAACCGCAGCTGTAGTATGCTCTTTCCGTTGGAACGTGTAGTTCTACTTGCACGCAGGTTGGATACAGGAGCCCCGGTAAGTAATGTAGCAGGAGTTAGCGCTAAAGCTTTCACCCGGCTTTGGCACATCGCGTGTAAACGCTTGCAAGCGTTGTACAAGTACGTTCAGAGGTAAAGCATGCAGCAAAAGAAGCTTTGCTGAAGCTTCCTTACGTGCACGCGTGGGGCTGGCTTGTACTACCAGCCGCAGCGGGGTGCGCTCCAACCCCATTTCTGGCTGTCTCCTCCTCGCAACACCTAGGCCCTGAACCCAATGCCCAGGATGCTTAGNAATCATCAATTGTCTACAATATTAGTGCACACATCAGAAGGGGGGATTGGTACACTATTGTGGAGTTGTACTGCAGCACGAGGTGCATCAAGAAGAACTGCAGTTCACCAGAAACTGGCTCCTCTCATGTCCCGGTGTCTGCGCGAAGTTGGTTATCTGGATCCCTATTTCCGTGCAGGCTCGCTACTGAAGGCAACATAAGTGCTTTACAATTGTTTGTAGTAATAGCGCATGCACCAAAAAGGTATTGCTTGTGCATCAATGTGGGTTTGCCTTGTAGCACGAGTTGCAGTGAGGTGCAGTGAAACTCATGTCAGGCCACTTACTTGCTCACCTCCGGCCCCACGCCCGTGCGCCGCCAGCCCCTGGCCACTTGCGGATAGAGGTCATCTGCCCTTTAAAAGCACTTATCTTGAGTATTTTGAGTCTTTTGCACATCGCGACGGTCCTCGATTAGCACTTTCGTTAAATCTCTGCAACAGACCCAGCATCCCAAACAATTGTGCTGGTGTGCTCAAATTGCCCGTCCTCTGGCGGAGACGTTGGAGCCGGAGTTGGTCCATTTGTGGAACAGACATTTTATGCCATTTGGATCCACTGAAGCTCGCGAATTCCATCTGATAAGATCGAACACTCTCGTTACACGTGGTAGAAACGCATGGTTTGGCAGTGCAGGTAGGGCAGCGAAAGCAGCACCAACACCTAGGCGCCCCACTGCATATCACCGAAAAGTAACGAAGGCGCTCTGCGCGAGAAAGCCTCTCGCCGTTTTCCATAGAATATGCATCCAAAAATCAGTCACTTCTCCCACGTAGTGGAAGCTGATTAGGGTGTGTCCAGCGGCAGGAAGGCGAGCAACGGCTAGGCGCGCTGTTGCATTGAAAGAAGCGCAGTATCCGCTTACCAGCCAGCAACAGATACCCTTACAGCGGAAAAAATTCGCCTTGAAGACATCCCTCGACACCCGATATTAAATGGACGCCGCTAGGCGGCTCCAGTGGAGAAGTTTCTTGCCGCTCAGGAAATATACTCTCGTCTTCAGAATGCACCTGACGAGGTACACTTGCTCTTGGAATTAACTTTATTGGAGGGGGCCAAGGCAACAGTCCCAATTTTCCGGAGCACACACGCATTATGAAGGCTTTCGGAGACAGGCTGTCATGGACGTTTATCAACAGGCCGGCAGCGGAACCGCCTAAGGTAGAATTAAGGTAATGTAAACAAGGGAAACAGTCAAGCGCGACGGTCAATAGAGTTTTACACCCAGATACCTGCCCCTGGTGAACAGCATTCCAACAATTAACTCGAAGCTCCTAGATCAATGATTCTTAGCAGGATTGTCCGCTGGAGAGAGGCAGCGGGTCATGGGCTAGACAGCGCCCTTGTTCGTATTAGCTTAACCAAAGCGGGAAAAGGGTGACAGTCGTCGAGATGGTGGAGTACCGATGCGTTCGACAGAAAACGCGACACTCCCACAGCCCTAGCTGCCCTAGCTGCGAAGAAAAAAACCTTCAAGAATGACCCAGATATAAGGCCCATGGATTTGAGGGCTATCAGTGCCAGCCACTCCCATAAGAGGAAAGAAGCGACACCAGCACTCAGAAGGCCAGGGCAACATGCGTCACATAACTCAAGATCGCAGGCTCGTGAACGGAATTAAAGAACTGGAAAGGAAATGATTTGAACGTGCTTAGACGAACAAACAAAGCGATCAAGAAGACGCCATGGCCATCCTGAATGCGGCGTACTGATGGGATATTGCACCCAACCTGTTTAGAACCGCATTGTGATAGTCCCCTCGCTAATCAAAGTGATATAACTGGTTTTATGCCCCTAAACATCATCAGGTTTTGTCTCACAATTCCACTTGATCATTGCCTTTAACTGATTTGTAGAAAGGAGCTGTTTCCACCTTTCCTCAGTGCCGCATGCGCAGTGGTGTTGTTGGCTGCCACAATGACCACTTCTGCACTGCACCCGTATTATTCCCCATAAATTACTTTAACTAAACGTGTTTGTAATTTCAAATGTGTTTGGCGACATGTTTTTTTGACGCCACAGTAGCATCCCTCACGACAATCCACCATGTGTAGTGCTCGGGACTGGTTCGCCCTAAAGCGTTGCTGTCTTNAGGCTCGTCGCGCTTATCTTTTGTCAGTTATTCCATTTTCCTCTAATCCATCTACGTCTGCCCGATTATTTCCTTCTTTCTATTGTATTTCGTCTGACAGGTGGGTTGATTTTCGTGCTGCGCAGAACATGCGGGGGCTGAAGCTGTGGCAGCCGCAACTGAATATCCCCACTGAATGAACTCTCCCGCTTACCTAAGCTCGTATTACTGGTCAGTATTTAGTAGCCAAATGAATGCAGGCGGCGAAGCATATTTAATATCTGGACCCGTGGCGAGGGGTGCAACCTACCTGCTTTTTGATCAGTGAAGCGTCTGAGATTATGCTCCTCCAACGGCAGATTGGGGACGATAATCGGGTGAACACGTAGGCGTCGACTGTTGAATGCAAGTTAAACCACAAGCATGGAGAGCATTACGATGGTATGAAAATTTTGCGGTGGGCCAGTTCATCACCGCTAGATATTCGACGGGCGACTCAGTAGATGGAGTGTATGCAGCCGCTAGAAGACACTCTTGACGCCTAGCTGCCTGGGAAGCAATGGAAGTGTACTTTGCTCAGCTCACATAACAGTACTTGCATCCCTTTTATTCAGAGTACTGGAGGCAGCTTCTGAAGTAGAAGGGAGCGATGATACTCCAACGCAGTGGAGAGGCGCTGCC